TTTGACCTTTACAAAAATTAAACCTTCTGCTTTTAAAGTACATCATTAAGAGAATGAAATGACAATTCATAGTCCAGGAGAAAATACTTGAAATAATATCAGTAATCATGTATCTGATAAAGAGTTTGAATCAAGGACATAAAAGAACTAATTCTCACATTCAGTAATAAGAAAATAAACAACCCAATTTCGAAAATGCACAAAAGACTGAAGAGATGATAAAGTCCAAAACATTTAAGAAGAAGGCCATGATCAGAGTCAGCTCATAATCAGTGGCAAGAAAGTACACACCCATACTCAGCTCATTAGTTCTTTGTCTTGAACAGCTGCAGAGAGAGTATTAACAACAAGCAGCTTTGACTTTGGGAGAGTTTCTACCCAATTCGTTGTTTCACCTAATGGTCTTCAACCTTCCCCAAACAGATACAAAGATAGCAACAGGCACATGAAAAAATGTTCAACATCATCAGTCATTAGGGAAGTGCAAATTAAAGCCCCAGCGAGATCCCACTACACACCTATTAGAAGCTCAAATTAATGAGACTGAACACACCCAAATGCTATTGAGGATATGGAAGAACTAAAACTTTCAGACACTGTTGGTTGGAATATGATTTGGCGCATCCACTTTAGGAAAGAGTCTGGCAGTTTCTTTAAACGCAATCATATACTAAGAGGTATTTACATACTGTGTTCATAGCAGTGCTAGTCCCAATACTCAAGAGGTGGAAGCAAGCCAAATGTCCGCTGATGGACAGATGAATAAATGAAATGTGGTATACACGTACATTGTAATAGTATTCAGCCTTGAAAGGAGATTTTGTCACACACTACAACATTGATGAACCTTGAGGACATCATACAAAGTGAAATAGCCAGTCACAAGAAAGACAAATAACATATGATTCCACTTATATGAAGTATCTAAAGTAGCCAGATTCATAGAAAGAGAGGGTAGAATCGCAGTTACCAAGGGATGGCAGAAGCTGAGAAAGGGGGGCTGCTTAGTGGGCATATTTCATAGCTGTAAGATGAAAAACTTTGGGATATCTGTTTCACAACAATGTGAATATACTTAACACTTCTGAACTAGACACTTAAAAATGGTTAACATGGCAGTTTATGTTATGTGGGTTTTGCCACAATAAAAAAATGCAGACAAGTTAAACATGTAGCTGATAAAGCCATTCCACTCCTAGGTACTACAGTTCCATGAACATGGGAACTGACAGCATATGTCCACACCAGCCTTATTTGTAGTAGCCCCAAACTAGAAGGAGCCTAAATGTCTATGAACAGATGGATGGACAAACAATTTGTGATATAAATGTAAGGGTTTATTTCTGGACTCTCAATTCTGTTCCAAAGTCTGTCCTTATGCCAGTCCCCCACTGTCTTCACTGCTCTAGCTTTGTAGTGTTAATCTCCAACTTTGTTCTTTTTCAAGATTGTTACTTATTCCCAGATCGTGTTAAATCTATACATGAATATGTCACCAAAGAAATAAATCCAACAGTCACTCCCGGAAACCTCTTTAAATATTAAAAATGACCTTTTTACATTTAATCCAGTTACTAACACAAGTCATTTTTTTTATTTTGTCCTTAAATGGGACTAAGAATAATAATTCCCTTCGTGAACTTAAAGAACTTTCCTAAATTGACTTTTAACTTTCTAGTTTGAGATGATTAATCTCTATTCCTTTCATATTTCATTAAAAAATATAGTCTAGCTTTTTAGTCACCTTTGGATTTGGCCCAAAAAGGTCAGCAACATTTGAGAGCCATTATCAAAGTTTCTCCTTCATAGCTGTGTTGCCTTGTTTTGAGGCCTTTGAAGAAGAGAAAATCTGAGAAGCACTCTAGCTCAGATCCTGCTGATTGTAAAGAGCTCCCTGACAATACCAAAATGATGTTTGCTAATCCTGGCCTCACACTCACTGGCTTTGTCTTTCTGGAGAAACCTTTTGACAGCTTTGGGACTTCAAACTCATTGCCACGTAAAGAGAATGGTGAGATGAGAAGAATTGCATCTATGAGGACCGTCTCTTAGAGTTCTTGATGTTCCCTCCACTCTATGGCCATAGTGTCCTCACAATGAGTCCAGTGGGTTGGAGTAGCAGAGCAGCAGCCCAGAGGGGAGGACTAAAGGGAACCACAAGGACAGGGAATTGGCCATTGTGCAGCAAGTCTCCACCCCTGCTTCTGCTGCGCTGAACTATAATCCAAGCCATGAGGCAACTGTACAGAAATGGGAGGGCCTGCTGTTGCTAAAAGTCACCAAAAATAAAAGATTCAAGCCTGCTAAGGTGCAAGGAGTGATGATGAACTCCAAAACATTGAAAAAGAGGGTCATTGTCACAGTCAATGTCAAGAAAGAACACACCCACACTTAGCCCTTTGGTGCCATTGTCTAGAACAGCTGCAGCAGAAGCGTTAACAATAAGCAGCTCTGCCTGAGTCCCAGCTACTCGGGAGGCTGAGGCAAGAGAATCGCCTAAGCCCAAGATCTGGAGGTTGCTGTGAGCTATGACACTACAGTACTCTAACGAGGGCAACATAGTGAGACTCTGTCTCTTAAAAAAAAAAAAAGTGAATAAGCAGCTCTGAGTTTGGTAGCATTGCTGCCCACCCTGTTGTTTCACCTACAGGTCCTCAAACTTCTCAACCTAGAATGGCACCATCACTTACTCATCCTCACTCTTAGCCTTGGGAAGGGGAGCTGCAATCCAGGACATGGCCTACCAGCTTCAGAAGATAGAGCCAGGGCTCTCTAAACATGGGGTCCTTTCTTTCCCTGAGATGCCTTGCCAGGTGTGGTCCCACCACACCACCATCTGCAGACCCGACACTAACCTTATTCTGCACGTTGCCTCTACTCTGAATCAGTGGACCCCTTGCAAAACTCAGAAGTTTGATTTCAGTGGCTGTCTTGTTGCCTGGCTACTTCCCCTTGTAGGGTCTCAGTTCCTCAGTGAAGAGCTTAGCCTAAGTCAGTTGTGAAGTTCTTTGCATATCATATGTTCTGGGATATTGACAAAGTCAAAGGCTATTTAGTGTCCCCCAAAGTTTGACTTATACCCTGCATTTCTGACCAGCCCTAATTTCCCTTCGAAACTTCCTTGCCTTATGTGCCTTTCCCTCTCTTACTTGAGCCATTCCAGTTATTTATGTCTTTTTCATCCTGCAATACCTGTCAGTGAGTTATCTGGGCACGATGCAGAGCAGAATATAACAAATATCTCATTTTTGAGAAGTATATCTTTGAGATCCATGCACCTACATTATGATTACAGTGCTTTGCTCAGAAAGCAGCACTAAATTAAAAGATTTCCAAAATCCAGGTAGATTTTCTTGGATATGTATCATGGACCCTTAGAATACTGAATCTCAAATCTCAATTATGGCTTCATTTTAAGTCAAAGTTTTACATGTGCCCTTCACCCAGAATGTGTGCATGATACCAGTTAGGTGTGAACTAACCCAACTCCTCCTCCCTTGACCCCCACCTACTAGCTTCCCATTGATTTTTATTTCCACAGTGCACGTAAGTGTTCATCAACTAGTTCCAATTTAGTATTGAGTACATGTAGTGTTTGTTTGACCATTCTTATGATACTTCACTTAAAAGAATGATCTCTAGTTCCATTCAGGTTGTTACAAAAGATACTAAATCACCATCATTTTTTATAGCTGAATAGTACTCCATGGTATACATATACCACATTTTATTAATCTACTATGTATTGATGGCTACTTGGGTTGTTTCCACATTTTTGCAATTGTCTCACTAATTTTCTAAAGAACATTTTACATGATGAGCAAAAGTCCCACTTTTATATGAAATATTCATGAAAAGAGGCCTGACCCAATATTTACAAGGAATTTGGCATTACTATGGAAGTATGCAGGGGGTTGTGTGTTCACAGCACTGGTTACACAGACACCACCCGGGAATATTTTTAACAATACTGCTATTCCTACCTACCCTAGATATTCTGATGTAGTTGCTCTAGGGTAGGCCTGGTTATTTTTATTGTTGGCTGTACCAAGTGATTCTAATGTCTACTAGGGGTATCCCACCTGCAGCTTGCAGGCCACTGCCAATTTTGTAAGGATGTTCTGTGCTTATGTGTGATGGCAGATGTCATGAAAAGTATGCATTGACCTTTTTTGTTGTTGTTGTTAATCAGCTTTCCCTAATGTTTGTATATTTAATGTGTGGCCCAAGATGACTATTAGTTTTCAAATGTGTGACAGATACAAAAAAGGTTGGACCATAAACACTAACCTAGTTTATCTGTTAGGCCACCGAAATGCAGTGATTTTAATTGAGACTTGAAGTAGTAGTGATCATATGTTTGTTGGCAACTTGTCTGACTTCTTTAGAGAAGGTTTTATTCATCTCTCTTGCCCAGTGATACATGGGATTGTTGGCTCTTTTTTTGTTGATTAATTTGAGTTCTCTGTAGATTCTATTACCAAGTTTTTGTTCAGTTTCCCTCACATGCCAAAGATGTGAATGTGAAGTGAACTGGCATGTCCACTTGGTCCAGTCTGAGTCAGTGAGGATGTGTGTGTGAGTAGCACACCTTACGGTGGGATGACATCCTGCCCAGGGTGGTTCCTGCATGTGCCCTGAGCTGCCAGGATAGGCTATGGCCACCCACGACCCTGAACTGGAATAACTGAGTGAATAATTATTTTTCTTATTTTTATTAATCTTTCTTAAGTGTGTGTATAGAGGCCATTTATTTTAATGTTTAATATTATAAACGTTTTGGTCTTTATTTAGACGTTTGGTGATGTTTTGTAACCATAAAAAGGCCATAGGAACTTAACCATTGTTTATATCACTTAAGCTATAGTAAAATTGGTTTCATTATATATCATTTGGCTTAAAGTCATAATTTCCAAGAATCTATTGATGATGCTAAGTGAGTATATATTGAACTCATATATATTGAACTGTATGTATTGAACTCATATAGTCAATATATATTTTTTTTTTACAGCTTATAACACAACTTTTATTAGAAAAGTTATACATAACATAGCATCAACTATTTTCAAGAATATTAAACCCGATAAGCAACAAAAACCAGACTAACAAAATGTGTAACAAGAAACTAATGACCTTTCTATAATCAAACATTCAATTATCTACAATGTCTTTGTACAAAGGGAGGAGATCCATGGTTTACAGGCACGTCATATTGAAAATCAAGATGCAACAGCATTTTATACAATTATTACTCTCAAGAAACTGAATCATTAAAACAGTAATTACGAGTTCACAAATTTAAAACATTTCACATAATTTAAAATTACTGGGTATACACTGATTTCTGAGTTTTAAAAATGATTTTTCCCACAAAAGTGCCAACACTTAAGCTAGAACTTTCATTGTTAATTTTGTCCTAAAAAGTTAAGACATGTTTTGACAATCATAATTGTCACATAATTTCTGGTACTATCTGGTCTGTTAATAATAAAACCCTTATTTGGAGCTGTATTTTTCTTCAACTAAATTACAGGAAACTGGATACAGGATTTCAGTTGCAAAGCTATTAAAATAAAGTTCCAAACACGCAGGAGTGTGCAGCATTGGAAAGAGATCAGTATTAGAATTTATAATAAATATCAGAGAAGCCATTAGTTTTTACAGCATTGTCTGCTTAAAGGTTAAGTCAACCAGGTGTATAATTTCCCATCACTCTGTCCTTTTAGTAGGCAAGGTGATTTTTATTTTCATGATCTGAATACTCAAATACATCCAAACTTCTTTTAGAACTCTGATTTGTAGCTCTTGGAAAGGTATAAATGTTTTTTAATAGTCATTCTACTCTAATTAAGCCTATTCCTGCTCATTTTGGAGCCTCACTAAAATAACAGATTTCAGGATAGCAAAGTTCATCAGAAAGACTCAAATGGAATGATTTACAAAATAGACCACTTTACACCAAGTCAGTCCTATCTTTTTATAGTTGAAGGGGGCCAGCCACAACACAATTTCACGTACACCCTTGCTCATTATGGAATTACAGCTTAAAACACAATTAAGAGGATTACCTCTGATGTTTCAGGTACCATCCCTAAATACAGTGGTTAATAAAAATATTTGCTGTTGTTACTGATGGAAAGACATTGTGTTTTCCCCTGTCAAAAACTCAGCCCATAGCTCTTAAACTGTCAGGCTTTTTTCCCAGACGGGTTCTTTTCAATGTAGTAACAGAGAACAAGATAAAAACCATGACTTTTGACTGCTACTCAACATGATTACATGCACCAATATTGCACACATCTGTTCTGAACTGTTAAAATAAGTCTTCTGAGTCCTTGGGGTGCTGTTTTCTCCATCAGAACACAACGCATATAATCAGTTTCCCTTAAAGATGAAATCGATACATTAAAAATGCTGGGAAAAATGAGGAAAGAAAAAGGCAAAGACTTTGTACAGACGAACATCTAAATTTTCTTGAAAGGTTCTGTGTGCCCTACACACGGGGGCAAGTTGTACGCACTAGTGAAATGAACACTAGCTATAATGCTTCTAGCTCCTCATATAATATGGAACCTTGGTCCAGGTGTGGCGATGATGTCGCTGTATGGTTCTTCCTGTGTTAGCTCAATAGCTTGCTGCTTTTTAAGAACCAAGAAGCTGTAGAACTTTGCTGCAGCTTGCTTTCTGTTTGTGTTTCGACATAACTCAAGCAAACTGATAGATTCAGCTCCAGTTTTAGCAAGAGCTCGCTGAAGGCCATGAAGCATCTGCTGAGTCCTTTTGTTCCATCTTCTTTCTTCTTGGTCCTGATCACCCCCTGAGGCATCTTCATCCTCTTCCTCCTCATCATCTTCTTTTTCCTTTTCTTTCTCCTTCTCTTTTTCTGGCAGAAGTTCTAACTCTGGTATTAGCTGACAGATATTTGGAGGTTCTTCTGGGGGAAGCTCTACAGGTGGTATTTCCATCTGTTCTACCTGCTGAGGAGGAATCACAGGCTCTGGGTCAATTTGGCCAGCTTTTCGCTTAACTCCCTGAGGTGGTGGTGGGGGCATGGCTGACTCATCCAAGTTCGTTCTGCTGGTCTCCATTGTTGATTCCTGGAGGCGGCTTGGCTCTTCCAAAATGGGCTCGTCAATAACATCACGCTGTTGATGCTGTTGCTGCTGGTCCTCTCTAGGAACCTCTGGATTTTCAAATTCTTTGAGAAACTCATCCAAATTATCTGCCTCTCCTCCTTTCCTCCTTTTCCTAAGGTCTTCTGGTACAAGTGGTGTAAGACAGCGGGTAAAGAGCTTCAGTAGTCTGTTATTCCATAAAGGCTGAGCAGGTAAAGAGAAAAGTTTTTCCACTCCTCCTGTCTCTTTCCACATCATCAATTTCTTGGTAGGTGGTGCCAAATCCAAAGTAGTAACAATATCAGAATAATCACTAAGTTGGGCTCTAATTGTCTTGCTATCCAGCTCTTTGACACTGTCAACAATTAGCTTCCTCTTCCTCTTGGCTTTTGTTTCTTTGAC